TCCGATGGGCCAACTGACAGCGACGTCGGGAAACAGTTCTTCAGGTGTGTGGAAATGTCCTGGATGCGTGGAGGTCCAGAAGCGACAGGACTTGCTCCGGTGTCATGATGCCAGATTGCAACCCTCGGGCAAATGCCAGAAGGTCAACACTAGCGAGCGAACGGTCAGCATGGGATTCCAACATTGACACAGTGCAATCCACGGTTTGTTTAAACCAGACGCTGCAGTCATCGGCTTCTGATGAGTAGGCCGTCGTTTGAGCGATAGTTTTTTCAGGTCCGCCAGATGATGATTCGTCCTGTTGTGCTTGCCAGTTAAGCACCCGTAACCTGGTTTTGATGCTGATAGCCGATTGATCGGAAAATACTGCTCCAACCTCATGAACAGCTCAGTTTGCGTGCCACAAGATGGATATAAATTGTTAGCCAGGCGTAAGAGCGATTGTGACTCTTGCTGGGACCAGCGGGTACCGGAATACTTCACTCGGCCAAGCTTATCCGCATTATGCTGGGTGGGGTGTGCGTGCCGGCGGTATTGACTTAGGCCAATCTTCGTCGGAAAAAGGCGGGAACAATCAGCGCAGGCCAATTGGGCAACCGTGTTCGTACCAACACTTTCATTGTCGTGAACTCGATGGTGGGCTACGAAGCCATCTTTCGATCTGCAGCACTTACCACATTCCTCACACGTGAACCCAACGAGTCTTTTCTGTGTACTGGTTGGAACTGGTGCGGAGGCGCCAGATGATTCGTAGTATACATTGTCGAAAGTAACCAGCACATTGAAACCAAACGGGGTGGTTAGCCCTTTCTGGAGTTGCTGAACTCTTAGCTCACCCAGACAGACGTCCATGCTATCCGGTCGGCACCACGTGTAGGTGGTTCATCTCGCTGACATCGATTGGTTCACCTTCAAGCGCAAGATGAATCTTGCACTAACACTACATATTACAGGCGCGAAGCGTGTACAAAGCTGAGCAGCATCAATACTTAGTTGATTTATGTTAGTTTGAATTTCTGAAGGACCCGATTCAATGACAGAAATACCGTTGACTTAATTTCCGCAAGCAAGCGTCCCGATACTATTTTGATCCCAGAGACAAATAAAGAGGATGACTCAAGCAGTATTCTAATTATGAATTTGAAGAGACAGAGCGATGGGGGCATCCTCAAACGACATTATTGGATGTGGGGAGCTCAGAAGGTTTGCTGCAGATACGTTTAAGTGTACATAATGGAGCATTTAAAGCAGAATTTAGAAGGGACACTCTTCATCATTAGATAATGCCATAGTTTTGAAATCAGATCTTAGAATAAAAAACGAACAGTTTTGGTTGTCAAAAGTGTGTTGCTTTTTCGGTGAAATGAGCGCATGATCAGTGTTAATCCAGAAATGACGAAACCCAACTTGGTTCTCAGGAATCTGACTCTCGCGACGGTTGACCGAATTTCATAGGACATTATCAGTGAGCTTCTTGGAAGTCACAGCAACCTAACAGATGCTATGATGTTTTTCGCAAGGAGTTTTTGTCCCCTTTGTGAAAGCAGGAATCACTCGCAAAGCACTCCCCTCTATTGGTATTCTCCCCTAGGCCAGAAACTCTGGGTAAAGTTACCAGGAGAGCTACGAGGAACCCTCCACCTTCTTTGGAGAGTGTAGGGAGCAAATCATTTGAGCTAAAGCAATGAGATTACACGCTAGTATCCTATAAACGATGGTGGACTATTATCGATTTTTCACTCGAGTTCTTCTGTTCGCTTCAATGGGTGAGTTGATGCGGTCAGCTGGACCGTTCTTCAGGGTGTTCGGTCAATCGTTTAAGACGGTGTTGCTGGTAATGGGCTTTTTGCGAGAGCACTCACTTCAATAATACCCATCCTCCTTGAACCGGGTGATCGGACTAGCTGAATTAGAGTGCAATTTCGAGATTTTGCTATTCACCAGCATTCTACCGATCCTTAGGCTGTTCATTATTTGGCGTTTTAGGGAACTGCGCGCGCTGTCGTTATGGTCTTCCTTGCTTTTCATGACTAAATCCATTGTTCACTGGGGAGTGACACATCCCTCGGGCAGACAGTAACAAAGGTTTTAACCGAGGCTCACTTAAACTTTCTCCATTCATCATTCGAATAACCAGTGTCCCAGTTTAATTCTGGGAGCCTCTTAACCATCTCAGCTCGATATTTTCGAGCTACAGGGTCACTTTGTAGGCAGTGAACGGAATACCGGCCGGCTAGCCTGACCTGATGAATCAGACAGGAATGAAAAATTGTCTAATTCTTAAAGTGGCTGTTCACATTGCGTGCCCTTTGAGGTGTATCTGACTCCGTGGTTTAAGAGAAATTTGGGCGTACTGAACGATGCAACGGCAATCACGATCAGCAGTTTAGTGATCGGAGTGCACCAATCGATTCTAACCTGTCGTCTCGGAGCGGCATCACTGCCTCAATCAATATCAATATGCTGGTCGCCTGACGGACACACCTCATTGCAGGGATGGTACGATTTGCCTCAGTGCCACCTTGTTATCCGACTTCTCGATGTACGGGGACTTGAGGTCCTTGATCAGACCGCTCCTTGTTGGCATTTCTGGCATCGCTAGACCCTAAGAAACTGGGTTCTGGTTGGCGAAGTTCGCAGGATCACTGAAGCACGGTAGCCGGAAAAACACGATAAGGTCGGGCTAGGGGTTGAAGACTAAACGTTTGGTCATGAGTGACTGAGCAGCGGCGTAACTCACTCGCACTTTTAAAGGATAAAGCGCCACTTAATATCCAAACACCTGATCCCCATCACGTGTTGGCTGGAGCCTCAAATAACGAATTCAATTGTTTTCTGTAATTCTATTCTATTTTTCTGTATTTTTTTGTTTGTTTCGATTGTTTTTGGTGCCAGTGACACTAGCAATTACTCAGCAAATGTTTACATCGTACTGAAAACGCCATTGATTCCATATTCACTTCAGACATACAAGCGAATGTTTGCAGGCAATAGTTTACACTGCATGGACGCAATTTACTACTCACGAAGTTGCTGAAAACTATTCGGTACCGGTTTTCACCGCTGTCGCTGCTGATGACAGGGATGATTGGAGAGTCTCTGGATTTTCGTGAGATACACACATCTCAACAAGGATGAAACAGCTGCACGATATGTCTCGTGTTTTCAGCATACGTTGACCTCACTTAGAGGAGAAAATCTCTACAAGAATTCCCAAATCTCACTATACCATCATATATAAATATGCCAGCACACAGGAGCCCAAGTGGATATCCGTGAAAGCGCAATCTTAGTTATTTTTTGTTACCTAGCTGGCAATTTGACAAACTACGCTTTAACCAATCGACTTTTGTCGTGTCAGTTTGCCATTTCCGTCAGTCTTCACGCTGAGTTCATATTGTACTGATAGCTTTATGTTTATTTTACTATACCTGAGTGTATCTCAAATTGCCTGCATCCGGTACGCTGTGGCAGCTTGATGGTTGTTCCGCGTTGGAACATGCTCAGACAACTCTTGAATGGTCACAAAGCGGTGTTTAAATTGTGGTAGAATCGCTACAAATAAAGCAAAATTCCCGAAACTCCCATCCATATTAGCAGACGACTTTGGTGTACAGTGAACATTTTTCGCTCATGAGGTTCTTCAAATGGATGTGCTGAATATGTGAAAAATGTCAAAGTTTATTTTATTGGTTTACACATGCTGCAAAATCGGTGGCGAGCTACTAAACAGATTTCAGCGACTTACTAAGTAGCTTTTGTCTCAAGAAAATGTCCATTTCTTCAACTGGTTTAACAATTGAAATGATCAGTTGCACTTCCAACATAATCTAATCGGGCTTCTGAATTCTCACCCTAAACATGAGGACATAGGCAGCTACGGTATTCATCTTAAGACTAAAGATGTGATCTGCAATCTATACGGAAGCCAACGGCTGAAATGGGATAAACAGTAATCTGAATTGGTTCAAATTAAGCTAATACACCCGGAAGAAATAATAGGCTTGAATGTACCTTTGTGGCCCAGAGAAATCCGATAAAATTTCTCCAACACACGACTAACATATGCCAAAAAGCTAACCCTGAAGACATCGTTTTAAAACTTAATCTAAGTATACGTAACACTAACCTTTGGGATGGACAGTCAACAGACAACGGAATTTCGCAAAAATGAACATCACCGTTTGAATCCGTTTGGTAGAGCTTTATGTTGCAGTAAATAGACGCGTTCGTCTGACCTGTCGTTTGTCATCGGATGCATTTCATCCCAGAATGTTTAAAATATATTGCAAGCATTGTGATCACATTATATGTAAACCAGTGAGAATTCCTCATTTCACATACTGACTGTAGAAACCCTAAAAGAGTAAACAAGTTTAATCTCTAGAAGTATACTCATTGGTAAATCAATTTGGTTTTCTCAAGAGACTCAAATGAATCTCTCGTTTATGATATTCTACAACTGAATGTGTTGCTCATAGGCCGCCTCATGCTTCAGTTGGCACGATATTCGAGATATCGCAGTATATTTTCATAAAGGAAACTACTCACAAGGTTGCTGTTGAAGAATTTTCAGCAAGCTTGTGAGTAGTTTCCTTATTCTCGCTTTGGAATGATTTCATGTTCACAGCTTATTAGGTAGCTCATTTGTCCCATCTTTGTGAGAACTGTACATTAGTTTCTTTTCCCTCATAATCCGTTTTTGATTTGTTAATGTATTTACCAAACAGACCACACACTAAAAAGAGCACTAATGTCCTAAAGCACACAAAGTCAGTTTTGATGGTTACAACCGTTTTGACGGGATAAATATAACATCTCATCGCCAACAAGTTATGCCATACAGACATAATTTATTTCGATAGACAGAACCAGATGGATATCAACATTCTACAATGTCAATAAATTGGCACTTGTAAAAGTGCTTAAGCAATTACTTTCAAGGCCACACTGATATAATTTCATGGTAGTCATTTTGGGGAAGTCAGAACAGCTTCATCCTAGTTGCTGTTGTTCCAAATGCTCCTGTTTGTCACGTCGGCAACTGCGTCCAGCGGCTGGTCCCATTGTACGATTTCTGTAGGTATGGTGCCTCGAACAGACCTAGTCCAAGCCGTATCGTTGCACTGTACATCGGTATCAGGAATGCCATGAATCAAAGAGGACGCCTCGTTTGAACAGGGCTGTCGATGCATAGCAAATGAACAAGATGCTTTGGATCTCCGCCCCGGGCGAATACAGATAAAGTAACCGAATAAGCCAATAAGGACCGCCACGACCAAGATGCAAAGGCAACCGACGGTGATAAGAAGGTAAACTGGGAGATCTAGGGGATGAAGAGTAGAGAATGTCAGGTTCGATATCCTCCAGGATTGTTCATGCACAAACTTCGGGTCTCGCAAAAGCGCACATAACCGTAGCAGACGCAAACTGAGAATGTCAGGTTCGATATCCTCCAGGATTGTTCATGCACAAACTTCGGGTCTCGCAAAAGCGCACATAACCGTAGCAGACCCATCGCAAACTGAATTTCCAAACAGTGTCTAAGCCATCTGCAATCACTGATCTTTCCTAACGTATTCATTGAGTATTTGCGATATTATTAGACAACATGTGCCTCAGTCCCCAAAACGTACCAAAAGGCGTTTGTCGCACCATTTGATCTTCATTCTTGTGTATTTCCCTGTGATTTTCACTATTTGGACTAAACGTTGCGGTATGAAGCAGAGTGCAGTAAGCTGCACTGTCGAACGACAGAGTTGTGGCTGCTGAGAGTCTACGCAGTAGCACAACATATCACATGTGGAAACTCGAACGCTGAACAGTGTTTTGCGGGCTATGAGTAACCCAATACATCTCAGTTCTAAAATCGTATCATTTGTCCGTCTTGCTGTTCACAGTCAAACGTTCCGTGAAATCAGCAGAGTGATAAAAGTACCATCCACCATAATTCTTTTCTACTTTAGGAGCGTCTTTCTATCGATGTTTCATGATGAATAGCCTTTCCAGCTGTTTTTATATAGGCTTTGTTTTCGCAGGTTGGTACTGGAAACATACTGTTAATCTTTCATAACGAACTCGAATTTTCTGCGCAAGACAAAGCACCTGAAGAAACAAAACTACTAAAAGCGAGCTCTCTGGGTAAAAAAAAACCGCTCTGTGGAACCAGAAAAAGTGGCTGCTTCCAAAGGAATCGAGTTGGCTAGATCTGCGGTTCATACCACTCTGCTGATGGTTTGCTTGTCGAATCCGGCAGTTGGAATCTCATTGCGGCGTGAATTCATTTAAGGAGTAATCACGCAGAATTAGACAATCGTAGATTCTCAACAAAACACTGATGAGAAAATTATTTGTGGAGCTTATTGCTATCCGGACTAATAACGAGTATGTTCTATAGTGCGAGTCGCAGTTGGAATACTAGGTCATCAAGAACTGGGAGGAAACTCATTTCGATTGGATGTAAGAGGGTGGGAGATCCAGAAAACTTCATTACCGCAAAGCTTTCACATGTTTCTCAGATTAGCAACTTCGAAGCACGTACGTGTGTCGGTGGGTCTCAAAACGCACACGCACATCTAAGCAGCAACTGCGGATACGACTGGCCCAAGAGATGGATGGAGGCGAGAATGACTTGATAAGGGAGACTATCCTAAATGAAAGAGAAGAATTTGACTTTGGCCAAAACAGTCACGAGTCTGCCATAAAGAACGGCCTAACCGGAACTTATAAACGACAGAACAGTGTGGAGAGTGAAGAATGAATGATGGAGTAGGCCAACTGAGGGATTCCGATTGTATGCGGGTTGTTTTTTGTCACGAAATTCTTTTTCAGACTGGGTGAATCCCAAAAACCGAAAGCGCATGAACTTGGGCTTGTGCAACACAAATAAACTGGTAAAAAACTTAGTAAACCCGACCGAATTCCTAAACTTTGGAACCATCGCTTTAGAGCACTATCCAACTGGCTAGAAGATGTGGATCTGAGCCACAGGCTCATTTACCCCAACATTCGATGAAGATCTACATGACTGACCTATTTGAAGTATACGAACTTCTGACAGCAATCAAACTGTTGTAAAACAGGTAGGCAGTGTAAACCCTGTCCATAGGGCTGCTCAAGGTGAGACGATCGACACCGATTCCCACGTATTTTGGAAGGCATCCCTTGAGATTTCGATAGTGCGATTCATCTTCCCCGTTCAAGTGGGAGAAAAGCTAATGGATAATGGAATTCAATCACGGAAATGGTTTACACACATTAGGTAAGTAATTGGACCATGTCTCGTCTAATCAAGTAGGTGCTAGCATCACTGAGCAAGATGGTACTAAACTGCATGTTGGATTTTGAGTAGACCCAATTTCGAATTTTATTATCGCATATGGAAGACTAATACAGGACAAATATGACAAACTTAACTGACCATTGAATGAAGTGTTTCTGGGCTTCACGAACGTCTTCGACTCATTCAACTTATAAAGCATCTTAAATCGTCCCTAAGAAACTTTACCGCGCGGAAACATCTGTTGACCTCGTCCAAGTTTTTCACGTTGATATAAAAGCCCGGGAACTGAAGTGCACACCTGTCCCGATATGTAAATCTGAATCTAAACCGATATTTATATCGAGTAGCAGAAGAGTAACCCCGCTTCTATTTCATCCCTATCTAACAATCGTGCGCACAAAACCGTTAAGACATTGAGAAGACGACATGCCTCTTTGAAGCAGTGCTGATGGTGATTTATTCGGTACAAGGCATTTCATAGCCAAACTACTGCTACACACGTCCATAGTCTTTGTTCTTTGCAGGTCCCCACGATTTATTTTCGAATTTTTGAAAAAAAAATTCAACATTTGACCAAGGCCTTTGGTTCAATGGCATCATGTTCAAATATAAGTGTTTCTGAAAAACACTTGACTCTTACCAAGCTGCGCCGTAATTTCAGTACAGAACATTCAGCTGGAAGGTGGTGAGGCTGCATGCTGCACGTATGCCCAACACTTTAAAACGAACTGAACCGGGTTGCTGTACTCAACTCAGCATTTGGATACTATGTCATCTTCGGTCAAAAGTGGGAGCTTAGCGCCTCACTTCTTGACCGATTTGCCCACCTGTGTTGCACTAATGTGCCTTATGTATGTATGAAACAGATGAAAACATAGGACTTCATACGTTGCTCGTCTAAACCAAATTCCTTTCTAATCGGTAGGACAGTTTTGAACTCAAAGAAACAAAAGACCGTTAATTCTGGTGACTTCATTTTCCCTCCAGATTTTCGGCGCTGCAGTCAGCTGTAGCACCAGATGAGGAGATGGAGTAAATTGCATTTCCACTTATTTGAATGGTTGATAGGTGGTAATTCTTGGAAGTTACATATCAGTACAACGCACCATCACTGACTGTCATGTGAAATGCTTCAAAGGTTTTACAGAATTCTTGGCCAAACATTCATAAACGACTTTGCTTGTGACTGTGTTTCAAAAAACATCTGAATGCACTCACTTTTTGCCGACAGCTTGTACTAACTAGAAAAATGTGCGGATGTCATGACATTTGTGTCAAGCTATGACTAAGCAGAAAGACTGGAAGAGTTTAACTGACAACTTCGTGACGTGTTTGGGATCATTCGCTACGTACACTCCATATGGTTTATTTAGCACTCTATATTACACACATGGATGGACAATATATATGGGTAATGCATGTGAATAGGTTCAACACTGTTCCACTGAGCACGGAAAGTGTTTCGCTAGACTAGCAGTCTACCGACTGGTATATTCTTTTCACTTAAGTATTTCCACTTTCTCGAACAGACGCGCTTTCTCGCGAACTCCTCTCAAGGAAGTAGTGCGGTTAACGAAGTAAAGTACAAATGGGTTTCCCACATCGTAAACGTTAGTGAGGAACCCCACAAACAGATATACAGAGAAAAAGCACCTAATCTATGGTCGAGCTTGCTTACACGATGGGACAAATCTGTAACCGAAACGTTGGATGATACAGAAACTTCCAAAAAGTAATCAATTACCTTGTTTTGGATTGACGGGTTCACTGCACTCTTCCGGATTCGCAATGTCACAGTACTGCACACGATATACTCCAGCCATCAGAAAGTTGACTTCTGTCACCCCTGACCATGAAAGTGGTGCACAGCTTGAACCAATGTGATAAGGCGAGGCATCAATCCCATTCACCCTTAGCATTCTCAGCTGATGTTTCCATGGTATCACATTCTGCCAGGTTCGACCACCATCACCGGAAACTTGAACTTTGACACATGCTGCCGGATCTTCTTTTGGTATGCGAAGAGCTCTCTGCGCACTGTCAAATACGATACCGGCTGGTTTCGTGGGTTTATAGGCTGACAACAGGGTGGGAATAAAAAAGATAACTGGACCTCGCGATCTTGGCTACAAGTCGTTTGAAACAGTCTCCATATAGTGCACATTGTGACCTCTGAACTGGTTGCTGAACACAGTTGTGACCCGACAAGCACACTTGGTGGACAAACGTTAAACTTCAAAACAGACCGTCTTCGGAAAGCGGCCTTCGGAAAGCGGTTTCTGTATAGACAGAAGCGTCTCAATTGGTCAAGTGACTACATTAATGTACTCTTAGTTCTGGAAATTTGAAAGTGCTTTGTCCCACACTAAAGAAGTTGTAGTCGTGAGGTGTTTTTTACCAACACATCAAAACACAAAGCTTTTTGTGAAAGACGCCGTTTTGAGAATCAAGAACAGTTACTATTCCATCAGCATTTAGTCGTGCCGCGGAATGATTCCGCGTTCTCAACTTGATGCATAGTGCGTCAGATTATGGAAATGAATTGCTAGAAGAGACAACACGTGACTGGTGTACACATTTGCGTTGATAGCTACTGCACGGTTCTTTTACTTTTAGGTAAGATAGCCTAACCGAATTCGATTTCACTCCCACTCAATAAGTCGTCCACTCCGGTTCTGTACAGGAGCACTCGAAAGTCACTGACAGCCGCCGTCCTTTGTGCTACGTTGTGACATCGAGTGCATAGGCAGATCCGTATGAACAGTGTAAACAGCATATGACTGTTCCTGGCAGAATTGTCTTGTAGTACCTATAGTATTCGCCCGCTCTACTCTGAAACCTGAAAACTACTTGTCGAAGGTGCAACTATACTCTGATTTGAAGCATATCATACATCCAGATGGCGCGGTCGGCGGACCGAATCGAGAATAATTAGGCTTCAAAACCAGACCAGAAGAACCGGAAACGGAGTCAGCCAACTTATTTTTGGTCACCTGGCTAACCAAGGGAAAACCTTCCGCACATCGATCGCACACACCAATCACCTTCAACAAACCTTTGAGTCTGTGCATATATCTGAGCCAAACACTTTGCGTGTATACTTCTCAGAGTGACGCACCATGCAATCGAAGAAGCAATGTCAGCCCCAAATATTCTGTCAGACTAGTCTGAAGGCTTCAAGCTACATATGAATATATTTGAATTTTTCTTCAATTTGAACCGGAACAGGCATTATGTACTGAATGATTAACTGACAGCTCTGTTCTATACAGAATGAAAAAGAACAAATACCGACTCCCCGAACGTAGTTCAGGTGTTGTGCTTGGAGCGGATTCTGCTAAAAGTAGAAGGCTAAAAAAAATTTCGCTCTCGACCTGGGGTTGCTCCACCCAAGCGTACAAAACAGGGTAATGGCGTTGCAGAAAATTTGAACAGGTTCACGAAGATGCGGTGTTGAATGAAAACAAACTAATCGCAAAATTTCAATGAGTAACCCAGTTTTATGCCAGAAGGCTGTGAATAAATACGAACAGGACGTACCATCGGTTATGAAAATAATTCGATCTGATGGGAGACTACGAGAGTTTCCGTGTTCCGCAATGATCCTTGCCGAATAAACATGAGATGGAAGTAGTCCTTTTTCAGATGCAATGAAGGAAAAAGAGAAAAAGGGAGCGATTGCTGTAAGTATTTTAGGGTTTTCTTCTGAAAATGTTATGTACTGTTGCATACCTACAGGGTTACAAGTTTTTCACGATTTTCTATGGAAATTTAACCATGCAACTGAAGCCAGTTCACCTCGGAATCCGAGAAGCACTACAGAGCTGTTTTATCTTTATTGTGGTGATTAGCAGCGCCCACCTCATGAAATTCCAGGGAACTTCGAACCCGCCACCTCCCAGCTAGTTGTTTGAACAAATAACCTTCCAGCCACTGGTGGCTGACCAGCGTGCGATTGATTCGCTCTTAGATAGAGTATAATGTCACTAACCCTCCCACTAGGGAAACCACGTCACGTGGTCACGTACTGATTGACTGGCGCGCGGAAAGCTAAATTCCCAGGTAGGAGTTTCACTCTGTGTGAATTTATACTCTCTATGAGGCATTTACATAATTACATATACATATATATATATATATATATGATGCAAAAACTAAGAGTGACGCATGTAAGCTACAAGAAAATCGGTGCACAGGGAAACAGCATTTTGTCTGCATTCTGCATTCTTCGCGAATGCTCGAAACTCGCCATAAAATAACAGTTATGTTTACAACAACTCCACTACACTATAAGATCATGATTGAAAACGGTGTAAAAAAAACTCGTTCCACGACTTTCTGTTACAGTACCACATTATTCTTCGCAGAGTGTATGTTCCGAAAGGCGAAACCTACCTCTCAATGCCGCTAGTTTTTCAGAGTTGGAACGACAACAAACCAATTGGATTTTGGGCTTAATGATGATGATAATGACTGTGATGGTGATGGCGGCGATGATGATAATGATGAATATGGTCGTGATAAGTACTAGATTTACCGCCCGCACCATCTGAAATTGTCGAATACGCACTCGGGCACAGCTGTGCTATTCACCGTATCTTCGCGCACAACAGGTGAACGGCTAAAACGAGAGTGCCGGCTGGATTCACTTGAGTCTACCATGAAATTTCAAATCATGTGAAAATAAGTACATTTTGCAAAATAATGATTCCTTCATAGATTTCTTAGAAAAACTGTCCACAGAAAGATATAAATTTCCAAGCGGTTATCAGAATCGTAAACCGTGTATCAAACACAGCTGCAGGTCTCCCCCTTTGCAGTGTTGAAGGTAAGCAGCTAACTTGTAACTTCATCTACTGTACAGTATAAGAAAGTGTTTGCAACGCGTATGATAGTCCTTGAGGGTTGAGGGGAATCGGCTTGTCGTATAAGTTGTGTATTCATCTGTATTCCCGAGGACCACATATGTCACGAATGATTTTAGTAAACAAAATGAAATAAATGTAACGATAGAAGGCTAATCTGCATTTGTCTTGCAACCGAATCCAACCCATGCGGAAATTTCGCGAAACACAATGTATTTCGGCCTTCTGTTATGGGTTGAATTTTCTTCCAGGGCAAAATCCGAATCAAGTTTTTCGAACCTTCTCATGCTATCTACAAAACACAAGTAGATTGACAGGAGGAATAATTCACAGTGGGCAAGAACCTTCTATTTGAAAACTCGTCACTCAGGCAGCCAGTTGACATGTGAATAAATGATGCGAATTACATGACTTGAGGAAGAGAGACACTATAGCTTGTCCAAAGCCGAGTTAATCTCATCGTTCTTCAGCCGTTCGTGGCCAAACAGCTTAAATTGCAGCTACAAGCTGACAGACTGAGGCGAGTTACGAATTGCCCAAGAGAGTAGTGGAACGCGGTCTGCTGTTCAGTGCTTCTTGGCTTTTCGACATGAAATGACTTAGCTTGTTAGATGTAACCTCGATTGAAATTTCCAACGCTCTTCATACTGTCAACAACAAAATGTCTAGATACTGTTAACTCTGTTGCGTCCATTGGCCGCTTACCCGGCTAAAGCTGATTCGTTCATCTAGTTTGGCAAACGGATAGCCATTTCGCTACCGTGCGAGGAGATATATTCACTGCGCGCTTGGGAAAGTTTACTCTACACTGTTGCTCGCATTTATATAGTTTTTGGAGAGTACCTAACTGCGTCAACCTGATTAGTTGTTTGAGTATCAGAAAACTTTAAACAACCGACCAGGTGATTCCATTAGATTTGTCCCGGAAACCATATAGACTAAATTTAAATATGATGATATTACCACCTAACCAGGCACTGACGAGTCCTCTCGCGTGTTGACAAAGTTTGCGAGCCAGTTGTTCCGCTCGGCAAACCGATCAATTGCGACCTTGTCGACTGAATATGAGAAAAGGCAAATGCGGAATGACTCTTTGTACCATTGATGGTGTGAGTCCCATCGGTCCTAATGCTTCAGCCTAATCGCTGATATTCCAGTCAACCAGTCATTGTGCGCGGTTATTTGGCTTGCTTGCGAGTTTTAATCAGTGTTACTTCTTCAGTTAGATCAAGCACATTGAACGGTGTTGTTTTGCAACTCATAGCGGTCATACCAGCCGCACCGTAGGGGTCCAAAAGAATGAATTCAGCTCTTGCATGAAAGGTAAGAGACACTGAGAGCCCAGGAACAGAGAGTAGTATACTGACAGAAGCCGCTCTTTCTAAATTAGGGCCAGTCAGCCTCAAATAAAGGAAGCAGTCACTACCGCTTTTCTGGAGTCCGATTGAGAATCCGAGAGTGGAGTTAACTTTGTGTCATAACATGGACATTATGAGAATATTTTTTGAAACAGCTTCTTAACTGGGTGGCGCACTTGGTGAACGGAAGTCGGTATTCAGTGGTCGGTATTATTGCATAAAAGCCCTCCACAAATCTAATGAAGATGGCCTAGGTTATCCAATCCGAGGTAAAAACGAACGCCCCCGGTTTGTTTTAATCAGGAAACACTCTATTGTCAATTTGACCACCGTTAGTGTGTTAAAATTGTGGAAGGTGGCTCTTTTAGTGTTTTCTTCCTTTTATTCCCACCAATTTTGATTGTGCGACCAAGCCAAATACAAAAAGCCACTGCCTCAAGCTCCGTTACATAGCAATATTCCAGATATCGGTCGAAGAAGGAGACAATAAAATGGAACCTACTACTCATGAGATTCTTGAAAACCCTGCGAAAACAACTTCATGAATAGCATTCTCTGCCAAGAAAAAATACAGAGACACAATAAATGTCCTACAAACTGAAATACGAGGCAGCCTCCACGTCGTGAATTCAGTTGGGGCTTATCACAATCGAGAGATTCAGCTGGTGTTCAACTGAGTTTCCCATTTGGAAGTAAACAGGTGTATAAATGAGTATATTTCTCTAGGGATAGTCATACAATGTGACCACTACATTCGAAAAAAGCCATTTTTAGTGGCAGCCCAAATGACTCTTCATATCACTACGGCATCCGACGTTAGAACTAATTCGGTGAAAGTTTGGGAATGTTACGGGAAACCTGCACACACTCTTACGTCGCCCTCAATAAAAGTGATGACGAAATAGCCATCCTGGGTAATATTTAGGGCAGTTTCTCATTTTTGTACAGTCAAGACTGTGACAGGCACGGTGAACTTTTTGGACAATGGCTGGATTTAACAGCCAGAGTCGTAGAATGTACCCATTAAGTCTGTAGATTATCTGCCTGTCTTTGCGTAAAACTTATCCAACATGAGATGTTACAACGGCCGCCATTGTTGACATTCCGCTTCTAAAATTTTTAGTTAGACTTGGATTATACCTTGTAGACGCGTCAGTATCCATTGCCGATTCGACAGAACCGTTTCTGCAAGCTCAATAGGGGCAACGTGTTCTCCGGACAGAACTGTTATCGATGTCTAGTTTTCAAAAGGATCGGTGCAAACTACTGACAACATATCAGTAGACGAACGGGTGGGCCAATGTTAGTATCCCGGACTTCCACCCCTATATTTTCAGATCAGCATGGGCATTTTGCACCGAAGAGACGTGTTTTATTGCTAAAGAAATTTTTTAAGTGAGACCGACCAGATACAGCAGCCTCTGTCGGCGTCGCTTGGCAATGACAACCTACCGCTCTTCATCGCTTGATACCTGCACTCTAATCTGATTTTTTCGTTGATTACGCAAAGTACAGTTACTGCTTATTCCTACGTATGACAAGAAGAAAGTTTACTCCCGAATTTTCCACAATGAGAACATTGTTTTCCGATAATCGTGATTTATTCCAGTGCCTCAGTATATGACATTCTCCATTTCATGCGTACGTTGTGGCATCATTTTTCACGAGGCTCTGTTGTCGCTTTGAACATGACTGTACCGTAGCATACCACCAAAGAAGTTTCACTTAGCGAGCTTCAACGACGCTAACTATGAGGAAATGAGAAATGGATTCATCTTCGTAATATGTAGTAAGCAAAGAAAAATTTGGTAAGCAACACCTCCGTACTTCTCGCTCCTACTTGTCATGTGTCGTCATGTCAAACCTTGACAGCCTTGACAACCGTGGCATCTATGCAGGATCGTGTGTATAGTTTAGCAGCGAAAATAATTTCCATAGTAGTACTCAGTTCTGGATGCTTTTATGCAGCTGGGTTAATTGGTTAACCACAGGCTCACGCATCCAATTTTTTTTCTAAAAACCTCCGCTCAGTGTTTACAATAGGCACTGAAAGATTACGACTAATCTTCCGAAATTGGAAAACTGTAGCACTGCTTTAACTTTCGGTTTTATTTGGGTGGTAGAGTCTCATGAAGATCGGTCTAGCTCCAGTCTAATCCAGGTATACCATGAAATGAATAGTCTTTGGTTCTATAGTCAAGTATTGCAACTTTCTGCACACCTGGTGATCAAGGCATTCACCTTGTTCAATCCTAACTAACATGGATCGGTCTAATTTTGGTTAAAAATTGCCGTTTTAGAGAACGCTATTCAAAAGTATTCAACATATTGATGTTCTCACCAAGGGACACTGAAAAGTACAAGAGAATGCCCTCATCAAGGAGCATCTCAGATTTTGGGACACTTGAAACCTTCTGAGTTTTGCTGCCAGTTTCTCATCGGAGTTGGAAAAATGCCACTGAACCCGACAAAGACATGAAACACAACCTTATGGAACCAAAAACCGTCTCATAGAGAAACTAGCTCCCCAGATATCGGGTTTCTGTCACCTTGCAGACTTTGTGGCTCATGAGCTTTTAGGTGTATCAGCTCACGCCGGTGCACCACTATACATAAACAACATGAATTTTTTACCACATGTCTTCGAGTGAAAGCTATACATGCCTCGAAACTGAAGCACATTATCCAAGCCCAGTGTTTTCTGGCGATAACTTTTGGGTTTGCTTCTAAAGAGAACTAAGAGGTCTGCGTGCTTTTACGTGTAAGGACTAAAATGCACTGTGCTGTTTCTGTTCTTCGTAAGCGGGAACACCTGCATAATAGTGTGGGTCCAAATAAAAAGACTCTGTTTTGGGTTTTGGGTGTTCGTTCATTGAGGTACATGATCAGCCCACAGGTTTAGCAATCAATCGCTCAAGCAAGGAATAAAGACCGCACCTATGAAAAGGGTAAGTTTCGTCCACAGCTCGACCAGTTACAACGCTTGAAACCCGAAAATACGTCTGTCCGTTTCTCAGCGAAACACACTACTCAAGAATTTTGGAGATTCTTCTGCCGCCCGGTGGCTGTGCACACACAACCGCCAACTCATCGCTACACATCACTTTCCTCCCCAACATCGCACTGATAGTGTCACCTGGATCGGTGATGAAACGTTTGCACTCAAATTACCCAGCTCAGCGAACAAGCCAATGACCAGTGCCAATGTTGTCTAATATCCAGTGCTTAAACAGACGTGGTAGCCCCATGACACAAATCAAACTCCCGACATTGTTCACAAATTTGGCGATCTCGTTACAGCATGAACTCATATCCGATTCGGGAGCAGCTGAAAGAGAGTCCAGAAGACGGTTCTTGTAAATTTCCCTAACGCGGGGGATCTGTCAGTCTTTTACTTGCTGGGCGAATTGTTCACATCTCGCACTGAATGAAGAAAGCAGTGACTCCGGCTAAGCGCGTGATCGGAATCCACAAATGTGTTCCAAATCGAGCGGTTGTCAGCTACTGACACGTGCCATTGGTAACTGATAGCAATGTGGTTCGCTTGACTTCGTGGCTGTTACTCTGTTGGATGGCACTGTGTCAACCGGAGAGCTCAAACGGCAGTCGCAAAATGGAATTACGGGTCTTGGGCTCGCAGGAACGACAAACATTAGCACAAAAGCTGCATGTATTAGCATACATAAAGGACAGCAGTTCTATTCTCTCTACTGGTGGGCGACCGCAAAAGATCGCCTGAAGGCTAACGACAACGATCCTGATCCGAAATATTTTTTCAGAATGATCAAGTTTCACCTCAAACATGAAGGTCAAGCCGGAGGATAGAGGACTACAACTGGACTGCAACTAAATATCTCTAATGGCTACATTTTGCTCTTTGCAAAATGTTGCATATGGGTACGCACTGATGACTTCTCCCATCTTGGTGATTAAAACACTGCTAGTCGACAGCCAGAGTGGCCGAACAGATAAACAGCCACGTGATCCATAACCAGGTATACGTTTACTCACATCCCAATTTCTCAAGACTGGATTAGTAACACTTATACAGGACGGGGAGTAAGGATCACTCTCGTGATTCGGATTGCAGGGTCGACAGCCTGGGTAGCATAGTAGAACAAATCAGAATAGGTGGAGCATACGAGGGGCCGAAGGTGGATAAGTGCATGAGTACACTAACACACAAATACGCACACGCATGTCAATCTCGGGTGCACTGGTCGGAGTTGTAAGGTCAGTGGCGACAAGTTGGGTTAAGTTATGCAGACGGAATGAATGTGGGGAAATGCATATACATTGCGTATGAGCATTTCCACCTTCCCTTTTACTACAGTTACCTGCAACCAGATCACTAACAAGTTAGCGGGAATGGAGTGTCCTGGGTAGGTGTTACGCACCCCAATTGGTGTTACAGAAACACTCAACCATCTCTTTGGGACCAGAGTGAAAATCAGTCATCATGATATTTATGATCCACCTCATAGACTTCAACTTCACCGATGCACATCAGTCGGCGTGCCTAATTACCCATCAGTCCAGGCCTGATCAAGTCTCGTCCAAATGTCGGGGACACAGAAACACCAGGAAAACCAGCCGAATAGCTGACGTGGAGCAAGTCGTTTCCGGTTCTTCTTACCTGTAATGTTGACCACTGTTGAGTGTCCACTAGAAAGTGCATGGAGTATCCCAGTGTTTCTTCCAAAATCGTCTGACTGTTTTGCACTATTTGAACTTGATCTCCCCAACATTTCGCCCTGCTTTTGACGTCCATGATCGACCAATTCAAGCTTGAATGTTTGAGCACAACGCTTTGCAATTTCCCATTCTTGTAAGAGATTTTGAAGGAAGGGTCTCAGAGTTTTTCCGTGTTGGTGCTCTTTTATCAAATCCCAGAAGTTAACAGCACTGAAGAGGTCCAACACGGTTCCATGAAATCCCGGAGACCAGGTCAAAATTACGGAAGTCGATGTCGTATGCAGGACCCACAACTTGGAGACTTTGATCGGATGTGCTACAAGTGAACATAACATTGAGAAACATTGTGTTGAAACACACTGACTGGCCAATCGTCACCTTACGATAACACAATCCTCTACGCACCTACAGTATCAAAAATTCTTGAGATAACAAACCACAGGTTTGAGAATATTGCTTTAATGACCTCAACGGAACACAAGTTTACTGTTCAATTTGAACAGGAGGTCATTCAAGATCCAGTCTGATCTCTCACTCTTGACAGAGTAGTAACGAATGTACAACACTAAAGGGCGCTTTCTCTTTCTCACTGCGAGGCACTCCTTTGGTCTCCAATGATGGTGTAGCATCATTCTCAGCTCTGCTGCTTATCACGATGACTGCAATCTGCAGACATCTCCACTTGCACCCCCAGGAGGCAACCATGTCGATGTAAACATTTCAAAAATCAGGGGCGTGTGACGCCTGACTTCACTCCATATTCCAGCCAAACCAATTGGGTTGCACTCCTTGTAATGTGCTACTTGTAAGGTTACTGAGAATCCATCGAAAGCCCACGACCGGTTTCGCCCTTTTTGGGGCTCATCAGGTAGGCGCAGTCCCCGGGTTTCCGTCAAACTTATGTTCTACTTGAAACCAAATTGCACGAAATTAGCGAATATACACTCATTTGCAAACTAATTTGGTTTGAGTGCAATTTAGTTTCAAGTAGAACATAATATTGACAGAAACTCGGAGACTGCGCCTACCTGATTAGCCCCCAAAATGGCAAAACCGGTCGTGGGCTGTCGATGGATTTTCAGCAACCTTATGAGTAGTACATTACAGAGATATACATGTATCGCGATATCTCGAATATCGTATCGACTGAAACATGAGGTGGCCTGGTGCAGCACATTCAGTTGCCTGAGAACATCACAAACGAGAGATTCAGCTGGGTTCCAGGTGAGTCTCTCGAAAGAACCAAATTAGTTTGCAGATGAGTGCATATTCGCGGGTCGCACCCTTATTGGCGGGATGTCTTCGTTATCGAGGTTTACGTGTTCACAGAAGTGCATGCGATCGTCTACCGGCTTGCGTTCTCTCCTTGCGATACAATTCAGCACCACGTGCTGTGAAATGCTTGTTCAAATAAATCAAGGTGGGATGACGCACAGACTGCCTTTTATCTGATTAATTCATGTTGCAGGTGTCTTGTGGTCAAACTGAGAAAGTGTCTATTCACCAAGTTTACTGTCATGACAAAAGGGTCACACATTAGGTGGTGCCAGTTAATTCATTAACAAACGCCGCATTCAGTCAATCAAGTCGCGGGAGTGAGGAGTGAGGAGTGACCTCCCTTCAAGAAACATTTCAGGTAGTTGCTCAATCGTTAGTACTGCGTTATCGATTTGAGTAGCCCAGACTTCTAAAAAGGTCTGCTAGTGTTTGCTGTTATCCTGAACGGGAGAAGCAGGCAGTCAACCCTAGCATGAAACGTCTGTATTCAAATCAGAGGTCCTCAGCGGCGCAGACGTCGCACCATATAAAAAACCACCAGTTGTTTGCCAAACCTGAACTGTACGTTTGGGAAAAAAACCACTCACGCTTTCCAGTAGCCGTTGGATGGACTCTTTGTAGAACTGTTTGTAGATGACAAACGGTAGGCATTTTGAACCATCTACTCTAATACCTACTCTAATACCAATCTGATGTTATCGCGTATGAGCACGCTATGCATAAATCCGGTTGATGCATTATGGCTGTACTTGATCATATTATCTTCCTGTCAGAATATTAAAAAAAAATGAAAAAAAGGCTCCAGATAACCCATAAACGCATGGTTCATGTATAGCCCAAAACCCAGTCGTGCAAATTCAGATGCAAACTGACCAAGGGGTTAACGAGATAGAAAATGTCTGTGTGGTCTGAGAATCGGTATCGTAAATCTGTTGCAGCTGCTACAGACAAGTAAACCTTCTAATTCCCCATTCCCGGATGATTTTACGGTGCGTGTTGTTGGATGTTACGCTGACTGGCGTTTTCCTGAATGCTACGTTTGTGGTAGACTGATAGGAAAGAGCTAGTCCGCGGACGCGCGTCGCTAGTATTGTGTACCTTGTCGTCCCATCGATATATCAACTTTACGTAGCCTCGTCGTACCTACACTGCCCACAATACACCAACATCTGCAATAGGTCATTCAGATAAAAACGTTTCGTTTTGGGAGCTTGACGCTTTTGCGAAGCTTCTTTCCATAATCCGCTTCGGCGGTTTCAGCATACACTGACTGCGTTAACTTTGCAGTGCGACACTTATGGGCTCATCGGCTGCGTCAGCTACGCTGTTTAGCTGAAACGGCGAGCAAACTTGCCAGAGTTCCGTCAAGTTTCTGAAGCCTGAATCCAAAGTTCACGTGATGCAGGTACTGTTCCCTGTCGGTCGGCATCCAGAGGCCTTTCCACAATGAGCTTGCCGGAGTAAGCTGATTTCGTTTATGGACACATAAGAACGTGCGCGTAACTCTGAGTCCTACTGTACACACTGGGCCGTTCATCGGTTTTCTGGCTTTTCGGAGGCGCCTAAACTGAATTAATTGAGTGACGTACGTCCGTGATTTTTATCAAGGAAGGGAGGAAACTGAGGCTACCAACCCAATAGTCAAGTGAACTATCTGGCCTGACCCACCTGACGCGCTCATTCCGGACAGCCTAACTGTATTCCTTTGAGTTTCTCACGCCCTTTTGGTCCGTGTTATAGTCTGTACAATACATGTGAAGGACACGTGGGTGTTTACTCTCTGTCTGACCCGGTGGGTTGACCAAAGCAGTCACAAGAAGCGCAATCAATGCGAGTAGCACCCTTCCATGGGAAGCAACTTTGCGGTGCAGCTGAGTCAAAGAAGCTCAGCTATGTTTTAGATTTTTGACACTTCCACTCCTAGGCCTTTCGATATTGAATAAGTTCGTCCCATATGCTGAAAGTGCAAAATACAGTTGGCTCAGGTGCATTGACCCAAAGAATACGGCTACATTTCTGTAGAGCACCATAGACAATTTTCGGGCACACTTGAGTCACTTCATTTGTCAGTTTATTCGCTGGCGTGGTGGTCCATGTACAGAAGGCTCGTAACCCGAACAGAATTGCAAGGCGGTCAAGACCTCTGTGCACTGTCTGACGCTGGCTTTACTCTTATCGAACCCTGTGCAAAATTATCGATCATGAAGCACGGGTCAAAGAATTGAGATGTATCCATTTTTCCAGGTCTCGTATGAACGAGGTGACCACTTAGATAAAGATAGCACCGATAACTCGTTTCAAGCCTATACTACACAAAGAGAAGATGTAAAAGGTTTCCTGGAGTGATATTCTTCTATTGATGATCCATGTTGTCTTGAAATTCCCCATATGATGCCGAATGCACCTTACCGAGTTTCGTGGCATTTTAGACATCCTTTGAGAATGAATCGTTCGCAAAAATTGGCTTAGCCGATTATTAGGGTCTACTTATTGCATCGTCCACACCGTTCTAATTCCAAGACGACGGTGTACAAGCGAAACATCAGGAACAGGACCCGGAAAAATGCAGAAATACACAGAAGAATGAAGGAAAAGTGGAAAAGTAAATATATGTATATATAACCAGGAGAGCAGGATAGGGATAGGACTTACACTGAGGAACAATCTGGATTTTCTGAGAGGAATTTCCCAATGCGTTGGAAGCCACGCAAGTGTAATTAGTTGCAGTTATGCTCCCAGACGTTTTAATCCACATAGCGGAAAAAAGCGTGGTCTCCGATGGGTAGATTTGATTTTGATGCAATGGGGCTCTCTTCTGTTCCAGAGCTTTCGAGATGAGGAACTGAGACAGCGCTGGTCTTCCGGTGAGGATGAAGGCTTCTCGTGTTTCCTGCGTTATTGATTATAAAATTAATTGTGATCAACTACTCACAACCAAAAACAAGCCTTTATGTATTACAGTTGAAATAAACATTTGATTTGATGCGCAAATTGTCCTGGCGAGCTGACGGAAGAGAAAAATAGCCAGACCATCAAAAAGTGGCCATGTAGACAAATGGTTCCACGAGGCACTTTTGAATTTAGCCATTTGGTAGGTAGATTTCAGGATGTCCACTCTTGACGAAGCAACAAATTGCAAACGTGAAACAGCGAATTCACGGCGCGATACACTAACGGTTAATTACAAATCGACAGACATGGGAACCTAAAGCAAATAATGGTATCAGACACGGAAATTATCACATTTTATATGTGGTTTTACCGCCCTTTACTTCATCACAGATGTTTAAAAGTTTATAGTCAACAAACTGGTAAGAATGTGGTCCGAAGTTCGCCTATTTCTGTATACCTATTGTGAATGAAACTGTAACACCTAGTACCTATACAGATCATCGAGATTCGGGGTACAGGTATATAAAAGACATGACTGAATTTGTAGGGTTGTCGTATGCTATGCGTCATCTGGTGAACTTTGTTCTCTAAATGGGCAAGAGTATTTAGGGTCGAATCGACGCTTAGCAGGTGTGACTAAATTGGGAACGGGGGACCAACATAATGTTGGTCTCAATGTGATGATGGAATATCGTTTAAACGAAGACGATTAGCAATGAAATTGGTTGGTGATTTTCCCTTGGTTTTCCCCAACATTTCGGTCTTCGATGTTTGGCCAAGCTACATTTTTTCCATTTTGTGCGGTGCCTCCGTGGTAGTCTGCAGAATTCATCCACATTACGAAACCATATTTTTTATGCGACCCAAATAGTACTTTATTTCAGAACTTGCATCCTAGAAAAGCAGCTCTGATCTCGAAGTACAACGTTCGATAACTATCACCCTGAAGCAAGACGAATAATCAGTAAGTGGTGCTTAGCTGCCACGACGCCTAAAGGACGGACGAAGGCTGAGCTACTGTTAGGTTGTCCAAGACTAGACAGGGCAATAAAAATTCCAGGTTCGGGACAACGAACCTTCTGGTCAGCGAGTTTATGCATCAAACACCTAGATGTCTCGAGCTTAGTGAGGTAATTTTTTATCTCTCCCTGTTGACAATTTCTGTGACAAGCTAACCGAGTTCATTCTTTATTCAAAAATGCCATACAGCACGTCGTATCAAACTGTCCGCTAAACCCGTCTGGATTGATCAAAAACAGCCGGATATCTTGTCGCGGTATGTTTCCACCCACGCGTTACTGATTAGGCAAATTCATGTGGCGTGCCAATGTGGGCGCCTGAACGGCTATAACTGACACTCGAATGGCATTTAAATCGAGAGCTGTCTGAAATTGGCAGATGAGATGCGACCGACCGTCAGCCGAACAGATGGAACTTCGGAGAGAAAACCAACCTTAGTCAAGCGAAACTGCTACGAGCATTTGTGTGTGTGTGTGTGGAGTTCAAAGTGAAAAAGAGCCATGTTACAAAATCTTCATTTCACGAACACATCTTCGAGTGACGGCTGTTCATGATACTATCTTCCAAGCCAGTGAAAAGAGTATATGGCATAAAACAGGACACTTGTTCAATCACCAATTACTATATTGGAAATGTGAGTGGAAGTCACTTAGAACATTTTAATGACCCGTGAGGGTTTTTCCGCTGATTTTGATAAAGTCTACTAGAAATTCGCTACTTACATGAGTACACTTCCGCACGTGACCTGGCTTTACATCTGTGAAGTAGGGATTGCGTTGATTTTGCGAAACCTCCCCTATACTTGCATCATGAAGATAGTTGTTCATCCAATTTTTCTGTGTACACAGTGATGACCACTCAAAAACTCTCCGTATGGCTGGATGATGCCGTGCTGATTACTCAATCGAACAACAAATATTTACGATAACCATGTTCTGCTTTCTAATGTGGTGATTAGCTCACATTCATTGCTTTTAATTTTCTGACAGAACGGCTTACGTTTCATATTGTATGGTTTGTACCATTTCTATGTTTGACAGACTACTGGAGATGGCAGGAACCTCATCCGAGCGATGATGTGAGAAAGTTATTCATGACCATAAATTGCAGTGAATGTCTAAGGAATTTAATTATTCTGTGAAAAAATACTCGGTCGGCTTTTTAGGGAAGAATTACAAATGGGAAGTGCTCATGCTGTCGTACTTACATGGTCAACAGATAAGAGGTCAACCAGCACAGTTAACACGAATTCCGTTTCCACGGACAAGTATGGAACAGTAGAAGGAGGTTCAAAAATTTCAATTGATATTTCATCCTGCTAGTGAAGTCAACTCATGACAAAAAGCCGAAAAGCTAAACAGCACAGCACGGCTGTTTTATTCTTTTGAGAATAATGAGTATTACACATCTCATAAGTCCTCGTGGTGATGTGAATTCATAGCTACCGGGTTGGTAGCTAGTAGGTTAGTAGATTACTGAGCCGGCCGGTCACCAGCGACTAATCAGGAGTGTGACTAACTGACACTTAGACAGGATGTAGTGTCTTGTGAGTTACTTACAGTTCGCTGATAGTATGAGGGTGTGTGGAAATCTCAAAAGAGACCTTGTTCTTCAAGTGAACTACCTTGGCGATTTGTGAAACTGGCACTGATTCACAGAGACGTCTCTGTGTTATATACCGAAATGTGTACTTTTTCCATGTGAAACCAAGAGGATGTAAGCTTTTGTGCACCATTTCTCTAGATATTTTGATGCAGACTGGAGATCATACTGAATATCATCCAAATTTCTTGCATGTATCAGTCCCCAACTGAATGTGCTTTATATTTCGGTTGGAACAGTGGTGAAACTCATGAAATATTTCTCTTCACCCAAAACTACCCATAAGCCTAATGCGCACTCTTGAAAGCAGGCGTTTGAAAACCGGTATGTACGTGAGTCCATCTAGATTGCAACATATGATAACAGCAGATATTGTATTCATCCAGCAGTGAGCTTTCCGTCCATCCAGTTGGTGAAGTTCTCACAAGGAAAAAAGCACGTTTATCATCTATTCATGTGTCTTCTTGTTTTCATGTTTGCGCGTTTTTCTTCACGCACTGGTCAGTATTGTACACGCAGTGGTCTACCGCTCCCTCTGAAGATGTGCAGGTCCCCCTCTAGAGTCTCCAGGATCTGATGTGCTTTCCGCCCCACTTCCAAAAAGACCAAATGGTTCTCCTTTTCTGTGGTTGCCCCTCATCACAGTTCTCGATGAGCTTGTAATATGGATGAAAACACGGCTTCTAGACCTATTCTGGGTGCGGAATGAAGTGCCTGAACATTACAGCCAGTTAAAGATTTATCATCTTTTCAGCGTAAGTATTAATGCAGTGCACTTGTTTATACTGAAGGATAAAAGATATTGACGTTTATTTTTTACATCACCACTCAGTGTCAATGTTGTTTCTATTTCCGAACTTTTATTTGGGAAAACATCGATGGCTAACATTTTTATCATGCAGAAGTAAATAGGTCTTACATGTATCTTCGGTTCTTCCTCAGGAAGGGTGGTTTTGTGCACGAGACCCAATACCGAACCTTGTTCGCGCCACCAGGTCAATTCGGTCAAAGGTGGCCTGGCTGCAAACTGACATATCAAAGGTCCTATGAAAGTGGATCTCGATTTGAAATCAGAAGGATTCGTGTCGTAAGCTATCAATTCCTCTGGAGATGGGAGGGGCACAGGAACAGCTGTCAGTGTAAGGAAATCGAGAAGAAACGTGTTACCTCGGTTGTAGTCGCCGCATCGGCAAGCGTTGGTTAATCAGTGGTTAGCGAATAGACAAAGCGAACCATTGGTCTGTCTATTTAAGGCTAAACAAATATTTTATCATGACATTATTGTTGTCCTGTTTAAATGTGAACTTAAAAGCCATCTCACTACCAAGAAAGAGGGGACAACGTTAAACAAGATTGTTGGCTCCAGACGCAAGGCTCACTACGGTAAGTGACTCAGTAACTTTACAGCTCTTTAGAACAAGCTAACAGCTCGATTGTCAGTTTTCTGATAGTTTGTTCGGTAGTGTTGATCTGACGTTGGTCTGAGAGTTGCAGTCTGCCATCATTACACCTGAGCAAGCGCCTTCGCTTCTGGACCTTTCCGCATCCAAGACCTTCCCATACACTCGGAAACCTGTCTCCCGACGCCGTCGTTGGTTAGTCCTTCGTGAGCCGACCAAGTGAAAACAGATCCACCAAGCCAAATACGCCTCTACTATGCCAACAAAACGGAAACACCTAGCGTCTGCTGCAGCAGTTTCTCGGTCAGCTGTGACTGGAGAGTGAGGTAGGAAGATTCGCTCTTCCCAATATTGTTTAGCACGGCAATATATGAGGTTCTCGATTTGTCGATGCTACAACTGAAGTATCATATCCACCTAAGTGGATGGTTTTCCTCTTGTTAACGACTGTGTCGTGTGTGTAGCAATAGAGGATCGGTTGGAAGGAAAGCTTGGAGCTTCTGGGTGTGAGTTAGAATGAGTTGGTATGACGAGCAACTAAAGAAGGACAGGTAACATCGAGCGACCGCGGTTTCAGCTGAGCCCTCTGCTTTGCCGAAATGTCAGTCAATCCTTTGGGCTCAACTGACGCCTAAATCTATTCACTTTTAAAGAAAAGGAGAGTATAACCACCGGAGAAAGCTCCCGGAATTGCTCGATGGGGTAAAGCATCTCCCTTCAGTGAACTACCTAATACGGAAGCTGATATCTTCGATCATGCTCACTGTAATAGACCTCAAACGATTGGGGAATCATATCAGGCAGGCTATTCGTCGGTGGTTGCGTCTACGGAAGAACATTAACCGGTCGGAATGGGGCTGCAACCGGACCCGGAAGGCGTCGTTCTCTTCAGGGGCACAGTGTCTTTGATCGGATCATAGCACTTTGGCATCTTTCATCAGAACTCATCTAACTGCGGATCAGGAGCGCTGAGCAAAGGTGATAGACGTGAAGGTGATCTCGGATAAAAGATGAATGCGAACTGACAGACGTAAGGAGCTGTCGAGTTTTCCTTCACTACCCTGTCAGCCTTATGTGATGTTTATTTGTGTGTGATGTTTTTTTTGGTTCACGAACCGATCAAGATTTCATTTCGAGATACCTGCTTTCCAAAATTTGCGAAAGCCGTTGATGGACCAGGGTTTCTCAGGGCACACAGCCAGTGACTTCTTTGCTCACCATTTTGAATCTTCTAAGGACGTACTCTGTTTATATGCATGATAAACGGCGCCAAGTGTTCTTCCTGGACATTGGCACTCACACCAGACCCCGTATGACCTTGAGCCTGATATGCGAATCTTGACTGCGCTAGCGCATATTGCTCCTTGAGAAGCACTGAGAATTTTTGCCCTCCCTCAGTTCTTAGACTTTACGCGTGTGTTTCTAGACCAAACAGTCCTACGTTTCTTAGTGATCATCTCGCCTGGCTGAAAAACGGTCGGCCGTACGCATTCGACTGGAAAGTTTCCCTCTTTCCAGTCCATATTTCCCAAATATCCTTCTCGATTTTTTATGTGTGCGATCATACGATTCAGAAATATAAGTTAATGACGGTGGTAGTGTGCTTGTTGCCAAGTGACCAGAGAAACCCTGAATATTCTGTCTGCTTGAAGTCCCAGTTTCATCAACCTATAAGGGACTGAACATTAAATCTGGACTACTCACAGTAATGAACTATACATGTCCCGCAACCTCCACAACTACAGTGAAAGTTGTCCAGCGGGTTTCAAGCTTATGTAATGCTCCTTGACTGGGAAGTCCTGACAGGTGGGCCGATCGATCGTCACAACCAGGACAGTTACCAAATCATCGTCCGAGGAGTCGGGCATACCAGTCACATCGCTCAAGTGTGAACACGTTCGCCTGTTCAGACGTCAAAATTCAGATGCGTCCAAAGCGCGCTGGTGGAGTAGTGGTAACACGCTTACCTCACAAACCAGATGTTCGGAACTCAAACCTCGGCGCAGCCATAGAAAATGTACTGTTGATGAGCTCTGGTAAAAGTGAAACGCGAGTCCAGTGCTTCCCTCTTTGGTGTAGGCACGCTAGAATAATTACGCCAGCACAAGAGGACGCTTTTCAAACGAGAGTGATATGAATGTGAACAATACATATCCTGCAAACCCCCATAATAAAAAGTACAAAATTCGTTATAATTCCCATCGCCCGAGAGTGTCGGATATCTAAGGTATGCATTTGGTAGGAAAACTGCAACGTATCCATAGTTATTACGGATAAAATGGACATCAGCTGTTGGTTGTTGATCAGGTGGCTGTTGGTCTGTTCGCCGAGCTTGGCAACTGGCTAAGAGATCAACAGCCACCTGATCAACTACCATGAAAATCACTCGAGCCACAAATATTTCAACACATGGAAATCAGCTGTACCTCACGTACTTGGTAGGGTGTGCTCAATTAGTGCTCAGCTAATTAAGCGTCATTCACTTACTTTGCACTCTGATGCGCATGGTGTGGCTGGTGTTTCCTAGGCGACTGGATGCTTCACAGCGATAAAACCCGTCCGCCTGTCGAAGTTGATTTAAATGTCTCCAGATATGAAAAGATGGTTCTCCTGTCCAGTCAATATAGTCCGGCATAGACTTTGGATCGCATTTCAGGGATGGGTACTGCATCCAGTTGCGCAACAATGAAGTTGGAACATCATAAGAATGAAGGAACGGGATGGCGAGTGTACTTGCCACATAAGTAATGTCAAGGTTGGTAACTTTCGAGCTGTTCTGACTGATATAATTTTCCGTCGGACTTCTTCGTAACGCCGAGTTGTAATCATCCATATTGATTTTGTACTCGTTTCCCAGTGCTCCTTTCGTGTCACTCGGTGAATAATACCAAGTGACGATCATATCTGAGCTACCCAGTAGTGTGCAGTTCAACGAAACACTTGAAGCAGACCTTGGATACGTTGGTCCAGCCAGACCAGTTTTAGGATGGTAGGATCCATCTGGGGCAAAAGACTTTAGATCGGTTATTTCAACAAAGTTCACTTCCGGGGAACTTGAGATGATAAGAGGTTTTCCTGGTGAGGGATTGCAAGAATGTGGAAGAAGATACCGATCCATGAGGTAAATTCTTACCTTTGTCATGCTAATATCTGCTCAAACTTCCAGGAGCAGTTATCAAGATTAAGTTGAGCCATCTTTGATGTGCAACCTTTTTACGAGGAATCACTATTATTGTTGTAAGGATATATTTGAAGCAAGCTTTACTCCTGGAATTACCAGCATCAAACCCGGATAAAGTGTGCGCAATAGAAACCCACGGAGTATCTTACGACTTTGTTTGCCAGTTCAAACCGTTTGTGACTGAGCGGTCTTTGCGTGTCGATCCTCAATATGCTTTCTGGATTATTTTGCGTACCAGCTACTATAATTTCGTGAGTAGGCGGACGGGTGGGAAACGCAAGGCGTTGGAAAGCTGGGTTCGCAGCGACGCCTCATATGGATTCTTTGATTTTGCGTAGGCCAGTGGTCCTTACACCAAATTTATCAACTCACGATTAAGATGAGTCAATGAATCACGATCTTTCAGTTCGGATTTCAGAACTACTGTACTAAAAGCGACTCAGTGTTTTCATCAGTCAGCAATACAACTGCGCCTCAAATAAATTCTTCAGGCGGCACCATTGCCCAAGGAATGGTTTTTCTGTGATTAGGTAATATCCAGCTTATGATTGATGGATTTTGATGACAGAAAGTAAAGGCCATCCTTGACCAAAAACTGCACCGCAGCAAGGACTAAGAAGTAAACATCATGCGCCGCGCTTCCTCACGTTTGGGTACCAAAGGAAGAAATTCACATTGTGGACAAGTTTGTCCCCCGAGATGGTTAGACGTCATCAGAGTGGTCGTGCTCCAGAAGTTGCACGGATTGCGACACTGCCCGAAACTACATAGTATATTATTTTCCCTCAGTGTTCTGTGTTGCCCATTCAACAAACTTAACTGTCTTGGGTACTACACATCTAATCAGGGCGTCTACTTGTCACGCCACCGATATCCAGGCGACCAGTCGTGTGTAAGTGACTTGCAGCTTTTACAAGGCAGCAACATGTTGACTGAAAACATCACAAGCGAGAGATTCAGCTGGGTTTTAGGTGAGTCTCTCACAAAACCAAATTTGTTTACAAATGAGTCTATTTCGCTAACATTGTGACTGAATTATTTCCCTAACCCCAAAAACACATTCTTCTCGCTCCATAGCGTAGCTTTCCCCTTTGTTCTAATGTACGTCCAGGTGTGCGTTCTTCTGCCTCTGGTTTTCATGTTACTGAGTGCTGAATAATTTATATTCTTGAACTACCGCATGATTCCAGGTGAGCAAGTTTCTTCGTATCCATACATTTGAAAGTGCATTCATTCATTTAGTCGGTCTCGTACCAGTAATTCGAATGAAATAACGAACAAACAAAATTCACTCGTTAAACGTTATCGACAAGAGCATACTAATTTTCCTCGAAACCTCATATATGAATGGGGTTTGTTCCCTAATTTTCCCATACCCGTCCTAATATGTGTCGTATGTATGTATATGATGACTGACCTACACAGTTTATTTTTGAGCACTTCCATTGATGGTCAGATGAAGTGCGAGATTCGCCGTTCCGAGTATCATAACGATGAGTCTATCCTATTGGTATATTAAGTGATGGTCCGTAAAGACATGTTATTCCATCCAGGTAGTTTATGACATTGGAGGGTAAACAGAGACACACGGGTTAAGATAGAATTTTACGTCTTGTATGAAAGAACAACTTTCCTTTTACCTGGCAATGTTGCCTTCGTGTAAACTTGGTTGGAAAGAGGGAGCGTACGAGGGCATCTAAACAAGCCCCCATTCTTCCCCAAA